TTGTGGGGCCTGCGTGCTGGGTCTCTCTGCCCCGTGCGGCCTGGGCACGCTGGCTTTCCTCTGGGCGTGTGTTTGGAATGGGATTCAGCGGCACGTTTCTTCTCACTCTCACTCTGGTTGCCACACACTCTCTCCGAAAATGGACTTGCTCGCTCCTGCGCACCTGAACGCAGGGGCCCTTTGAGTCAGAAGGGCCGTCTCGGTTTAGAGACGAGGAAACGAGGGCCATAAGTGACCCACCCGGGCACTCAGGGCCGGGCTGGGCCCTCTGTCCCTCTGCCCCCTCTGACGTCGGTCATTCCAGAGAATGTGTGAGAATGCAGATGGCACAGCATTCCAGAGCCACTGGAGCCCGACCGCACAGCCAGTGCCCTCAACAGTAAACGTCACAGCGGATAATGGGGGCGGAGGGACACTGTTGATTCGGGCTACAGTCTGGGTATGCTCTGTCTACAACATCAGCCTGAAGGAGAGAAACCGAGGCAGGGTTGTACAAAATTAGGGCAAATCGGAGTTTTTAATTTTGTATTGTCTTACCCAGACATGCTGTCCGTCCCTGTCCCCCCAGGGTAGTTGCGCACCTAAGTCACCTCCCCTTTAACCAAGACCTCCCAGCCTGCAACAAGAAGAGAGGCTTCGCAAACACTGTCTCCTCTTCCTTAGCGGGCAAGAGGGAAACGACAAAAACCAAACCCGACAGGACTCCAGGGAGGGCAGGGCCTGGGCGGGTGCCTCACCCACCCCGCTCCCCACAGGTGAGGAGGGGAGCGCACAGCTGCTGGGGAGCTGGCCTGGAGCCACCACGGCCCCTGAGTCTGGCTTCTGGGTGGACAGGGTATGGAATGTAACCTCAGACACTTTTGGCTGCAAACAACAGGCCGTCCAACTCAAAATGGCTTAGACAACAAGGAGCGTCAGTCTCTCAAGGCCAAAGAGGAGCAAGCCGGGCACGGATCAGGAGCGGGTCTGCAGTCTGCCTGTCCTGACTGTGGGTGGCGCTCCCTCCACTGACCGAGTCAGCATCCCCCGGTGGCGGCACGACCCTCTGAAGGGCGCAGCCGTTCACGGGATGGGTGTGACGTGCCGCGTTCCCCTCCCACACGTGAGTCCTTTCTGCATAAACCTGACGGAGAAAGAGCCAAAGGAAATAAAAATGCTTGTATGGACTCCCTATTTCCCCGGGGCGCTAATGATTGTCACCGGACAGAACCAGCCTCGGAAAAGGTCTGACACCTGGCGGTCCGCACTCACTGAACATATTCTCTGAGCTCATCTCTGCCGGGGAAAGCACGCTTTCTCAGCTCACACCGAGCAGAGTGGTTTGCCTCTAGGTTCATTTTATTTCTTCATTGTGGAAAGAATATGTAAACAAAACCATGACCCTCCCTGGGGGAGATTCCCTAATGATATAAACTGTCCTCTCCACCTTCCTTGGATGAATGTCCTAAGACATTATGAGGCCATTGGGAGCAGTGGGAAGGATGAGGTCGAGGGGTGGTGCTGGTGGGTGCTTGGAGGGTGCTGGAGACCAGCCTGCCTCCTAGAGAGCGGCCCCCACCCTGGGCCATTGTTCCCTCGTCTTCAAAGGAGCAGACCGGACTACATCATCTTTTTTCTCTTTTAATTGCGGTGAAATTCACATAACACAAAAGGAACCATTTTGCAGTGTACAATTCAGTGGAATTTAGTACATTCACAATTATGCAGCCGCCACTGCCACACACTTCCAGAACATTTTATCACCCCCAAGGAGACCCCCTACCTGTTAAACTGGATTAACCTAATCTTTTAAGGACCCTTTCAATTATATAATTCTGTGGCTCCAAACGAGCAAATCGACTCATTCAGCTCTTAAAAATGCCCTCCAGGCCGCAAAGACGCAAAGATTACCCCATAAATGTGGAACATCTAAATATTTGTCCCTAACAAACACAGTGGGGTGGACGACCTGGGCTGCTGGGGGGCAGATGACTCCTGGGCTGCTCGTCCCACAGCTCCACAGTGTCGGCCGTTTCCACGGCGGAGCCAGCCGAGTACCCACAGAGCCGGCCCCCCGGCAGCGGAGACGGCACAGACGTGGGATTTACATTGTTCGTTCCTTGTTGCCTCCAGAAAACCACCATCCCGTCTGTCTCTACCAGAAAAGGGCCATGCTTTCCTAGGAATTCAGATTCCTGAGCCGAGGGCCATTTTTGTGGAATGAGCCCATCCTGTCACCCCCATCGGCGGGGGGAGGAAAGAGGGCAGGTGATGCTATTACCGTTAAGGGCCTTAGCGTGGGAAACGGTCTAGCTGTGCTCTCCGGGCCTCAGCTGCCCCACCTCCCCCATGAAAGAATGTGGCTGTCCCATGTTTTCACGCGGTGAGAGTCCTATTGCAAGCAAAGATCCAACATGGAAGCCCAGTACATACCACAGGCGGGGAAGTCTGTGAGCTCATCTCCCTGGCCCTCTCCCCTCCTCTGTGAGGGGGCTCTGTGGACTCCCCCTGGGGACTCCCCCCATTCCCTCAAGCACAGGATGGAAACCACCCATCCTGGCCCTAAGGGGCTCCAAGCGCTGGTGCTGATGGCCTTTGGACCATCTGTGCACCATCTGTGAATTTCTGCTTTTGTATTGGCCACCGGGTCGCTAAGAAACATCCATGTACGTCACAATCAAACTTCCCCAGAGTCCTCGGTGAGACCCCTGCAAGTTCACGGCCATTGCTCACCTGGATCACAGCGCTCCCTGCCCCCACAACCCCCGGCTCAGCTGCTCACACCTTTTAAGCCTCAGCAGCCCAGCCCAAGTCTCCAGGCCACCTTTGCTCCGTTCAGCGCTGCAATGAAAAGATTAGAGGCTGGCGGTGTGACTCACCGCTCCTACATGGCAATTGAACTTGTTGGTTTCTCTCGCGGAGGACTCGGGACATAAACACCTGGAATTTATGAGTGGTGTTTAGGACGGCAAATGAGTGCTGGTTTCACAGTTTTGTTTTCAATCTATGTGCTCTTGGAGGGAATCAGATGTATGACAGCTTTATCAGCCACACGGGCATCTCTACCCATTAGGCGAGATGAACCGCGGATGCGTGTGTTGTGTCTCTGTGGTCCTGCGTGGGGCTGGGAATTCCACAGATGTCACATGTGGAGAGAGTCCCTCAGCCAGGAGTACTGTCACATCATGGTCACATTTAGACAGGACACAGACTTGTACGTGGCTGGCAATGCCACTGATAATGAATTCTAGTGACCGAAACGGGAAATAATATAACACTAAACAAAACCGCTCACATTGCATTTATACTGAAAGGTTTGATTGGTTGAATAAAAACCCAAGTGAATGAAACAGCAGCGGGGGACAGTTTGGTGGAAGGCGGGAGCGTGTGCACAAACTGCAGTGAGGAGGGATCCCTGTGGACAGGCCACTCAGCACGCCGGGCCTGAGACAGCCATTCCGGGGCCTTCCCCCGGCCACAGCTCCTACAGGCACCATCAGGGGGTTGTCAGCACACGCTCCCTGGGGAGGCAGGCGTCCCTACCTGACCTCATTGGAGGGAGGGGGCTCCCCTGAGCCTTGGGGTTGGCTGTGGGGAGTCAGGGCCTGGCCCCCCTCTCCTGACTTCTCACCCAATGCTCTCGAAACACCAGCAACCGCTCCATGGTCCATTAAATTGGACCGAAGCTCCGACGGCTTGCAAAGCACATTTTTCTAAAGAGCTGTTATAAAGGTCTCATTGCTCAAGTGTAATCTAGCAAAACCGCCAAGCCCCCCCTCCCCCTTCCCCTCCCTCAGTGCTCGGACTTGCCAGGGCAAGGAAAAGGGATAGCTGACTCCAGGAGTGACTGCACCCAGCCCGAGCTCTTTGGAGGGTACACGGAAGGTTCCAGAAGAGGCAATGGCACCCTACAGGATCGTCTGGGGTAGTACTCCAGAGCCCCGCTCGCCTGTCCTCTAGCTCTCCCTCTGCTGCCCACCAGCCGGGGTGCTGGGAGTAGGGCTCTGCTCCCTGTGCCTCAGTTTCCTTGTCTGGACATAGGGTTGTGCATGGGCTCCGCCTCAGAGGTTGGTCGTGATGCAAGGCCCTAAGGACAGTGCAGTAACTGTACCCACAAAAATGAGCAAAATAGGCAGAAACCCCTGCCCTTATATTGGGGTACAGTGAACACTCAGTAGGGTGATTAGCCCCCAGCTAGGTCAGACCTTTGCCAACAAGTCACCTGTTGGCCGGCATCAGGCACAGCCTTCCGGGGCTTTGAGGGTGGCTGACACCTACCACCCTAATGTTCTGCCAACCAGCAGCCACGGGTACACACAATGTGCTGCCAGCTTGTGCCCTGGACACACTCGACGTCCAGGAGGTGCCCCGCCAGCCTGGGCCCGCCCCTCCCGCCTGTCAACGGACGGGCCATGTGTTTTGCATCAGCAGTGAACTGGGCCAAAGTTTAGTCAATCAGACGTTGTGTAAGGGCGGCTGGCGAGGGGTCGGAGGCCTCCTGGCATCCCCGCGGCTGGCTGTTCAATGATTATCTCCCTGGGGTGGGTCATGGGGAGCCGGTCCCAAGCGAAGCTGACCGTGGCCCAGATCCAAAGGCCTGGCCCTGACGTCAGAGACGAGCCTCCGGGGTGGGGCCAGGGGGCAGGACCTTGCTTCTCCAGGGCATTTAAAGCCGGCGCTTCTGCCACCAAACACCACCTTCCCACTGAGAAAGCAGGCTCACCAGCGGGAAGAGCCCAGAAGCAGGCCTTGGATCTCTGGTCGAGACAGTCCAGAGAGCAGGAAGGTAGGCCGGGTGCTTGAACTTACGTTGCTAAAAACCACGGAGTAACGCGAACTCGCTTCCTTATCCTTACAGCTACGCCGGGCAGGTGCGCCGCCGGACCCAGCCCTGGAGTAGGCCAGAGGGCGCGGTTCCCACTCATGCTCAGGAAGCCCATGCTTGCCGTTGCAGGGAACCTCGGTGTCTGTGGCCCTCAGCGCGACTCTGCAGAAATGCCTCCTCAGCTCCCCAATGGCCTCAACTACTCCGCCAAGGTCGTCCAGGGCACCCTGGACAGCCTGCCCCAGGCAGTGCGCGAGTTCGTGGAGACCCACGCCAGCCTGTGCCAGCCCGAATGCATCCACATCTGCAATGGCTCCGAGGAGGAGAACCAGCAGCTGCTGCGTGAGATGGAGGAGCAGGGCACCATCAAGAGGCTGAAGAAGTACGACAACTGGTGAGTGCACCCCAGCCCCAGCACCGCCCGCCCCCCGCCCACAAGGTGGAAAGAGGTGGATGAAGATCGAGGGGTGAGGGGTTTGCAGGCCTTTGAAAAATTATGTAATGGCCAGAACAATATAGACTTTAACTTAATGACACTCGTAGGGCCCCAGTCTTCAATGAGCTGGCATATGCAAGCAAATGCTCTTTACAAATTAGACACCAGGTTAAAACAGAAGTCGAACCGTCCCTGTCCTCCCAGACTGGCTCACAGTCTAGCAAATGGCTCCTTGACCCTGCCAGCTGGTGTGGCTGTCACATCTGCAGAACATCGCCAGTGCTTGGCACCTGCTAGGGGCAGGGAGGACACGAGGATGAATTAGCGGGTCCATTCCTACAGGATGCACACAGACACATTCAAAATGGCTGCACTTCCCCTCCGACCCTCACCTGTGTGTTATTGTTTTTGCAGCTGGTTGGCTCTCACTGACCCCAGGGACGTGGCCAGAATTGAAAGCAAGACGGTCATCATCACCCGAGAGCAAAGAGACACAGTACCCATCCCCAAAAGCGGCATCAGCCAGCTGGGCCGCTGGATGTCGGAGGGGGACTTTGAGAAAGCATTCAACGCCCGATTTCCGGGGTGCATGAAAGGTAGGCGAAGCACTTATTTGAGGGGCAAAATATCCGCAAGCCTTTTATTATGATGTCTGTCCGAACGGTCACTTTAACCGTAGTGGAAACTCCCGTGGCCTCGGAGGTCTTTAAATTCCACATGTGAGATTGGCAACGTTTTGAAAACGTGCATCTTAGGATTCGATTTACAAACTGTCTCTGAGGAACAGGAAAACGGTTTCCACGCATGGTGGAACCCAACTGCACATTTATGAAAACGCCTTTGTTTTGGGGATTCTCTCCACTTCCCAGTGGACTCTCGTGGACTGGGGAGCCGGTGGCGGGCAGGGAGTGAGGTGATTGGAGGAAACGAGTGTTGGTTGTTATGAGTCCGAGGCCCTCTCTCACGGCTCCCCCCTCCCGCAGGTCGCACCATGTATGTCATCCCCTTCAGCATGGGGCCCCTGGGCTCGCCTCTGGCCAAGGTGGGCATCGAGCTGACGGACTCGCCCTACGTGGTGGCCAGCATGCGCATCATGACGAGAATGGGGACGCCCGTCCTGGAGGCTCTGGGTGACGGGGAATTCGTCAAGTGCCTCCATTCCGTGGGGTGCCCCTTGCCTTTAAAAAGTAAGCAAATTATTTCAAAACCAAAAGCTAGAATTTCTAAACGTAAGTCTAGCCTTAAACCCCCGGCGCGTCCTCCGGGCCCTGGGCGGGTGGGGCCACGCTGACCTGACGCGCTGTGTCCTCTGCAGAGCCGCTGGTGAACAACTGGGCCTGCAACCCAGAGCAGACGCTCATCGCCCACCTGCCCGACCGCAGGGAGATCATCTCCTTCGGGAGTGGCTATGGTGGCAACTCGCTGCTGGGGAAGAAGTGCTTCGCACTCAGGATGGCCAGCCGGCTGGCCAAGGAGGAGGGGTGGCTGGCCGAGCACATGCTGGTAAGATGCAGGGAATTCTGAACGAGCGGGGTCAGGGCAGAGGCCGGCACAGGGGCGGGTACTGGCCAATACAGGTGGCCTTCCAGTGCCCACCAGGCCAGGCCCAGGACACCCAGGCCAGACAGATTCGGAAATGCCAACAATAGTTATGAATGGCTCGCGGCTGCTCCTTTTGAAGGACGCCAAACACAGCCAGGCCCGTAGGCGCCATTATTCAAAATGTTTGTTTGGAAACCTGAAAAGATAGAAGCTGGGGACCCGCCCTTCGGGGGCTTCTAGGCACACCCCGAGGCTGAGGCTGAAGCATGGGCAGGGAAGCAAGGGAAGGAAAGCGTCAGGAGGAACGTTGTCTCTGCAGATCCTGGGCATAACCAGCCCCCAGGGCCAGAAGAAGTACTTCGCGGCCGCGTTCCCCAGCGCCTGCGGGAAGACCAACCTGGCCATGATGAACCCCAGCCTCCCGGGCTGGAAGATCGAGTGTGTGGGCGACGACATCGCCTGGATGAAGTTCGACCAGCAAGGTGACTCTCAGGCCCACCTGTTGCTCACAGTGGACTTTTGCTTTTCAAACATGCCAAGGGGCCCTGGCTCATACGGTCCGGATTTTTAATTTAGTGATTTCAGATCTTGCAAAGTCTTAGGAATATGTATTCTCTATAAGCAGTCTCACTTACTATCAAATCTGGGTTGAAATGGGACCCTGTGTGGCTGTTTGTTTATGGAAAACATATGTTAAAATAGGATTGATGGAAAACTGAGGGGGAGGAGAGCGTTGTAAATATAATTGCTTGGGTGAGAAAAGAAAAATACGTTCTAAGGACGAGGGGAAAAAGGATTCGAGAGTTTGGTGCAAAAATGAGCCTGGCAAGGTCTCAGAGCTCAGGTATGCATTGCCTGGCGCTCACATTGATGTTTCGGGTTTAAAACTCTCCAGGTAACTTAAGGGCCATCAACCCAGAAAATGGATTTTTTGGTGTTGCTCCCGGAACCTCTGTGAAGACCAACCCCAACGCCATCAAGACCATCCAGAGGAACACCATCTTCACCAACGTGGCCGAGACCAGTGACGGCGGCGTCTACTGGGAGGGCATCGACCAGCCGCTGGCCGCTGGGGTCAAGGTCACCTCGTGGAAGAACAAGGACTGGACTCCCGAGGACGGTGAGCCCGCTGGAGGCCCCGCCGCCCCCCAACCCCGGGTGCTCTGTGTTTGTTCCGGACACTCAGGGGCCTCTCCTCTCTGCCTGTTGTAGGGGAACCTTGTGCCCACCCCAACTCGCGCTTCTGCACCCCCGCCAGCCAGTGCCCCATCATCGACCCTGCCTGGGAGGCTCCAGAGGGCGTGCCCATCGAGGGCATCATCTTCGGAGGGCGCCGGCCTGCTGGTGAGCCTCCCTGCACCCCGGCCGGGCGGGTCTGTGGAATCGCTCCTTTCCCATGGCTGTGACAGAGGGTGCCCGCGAGGCCAACTTGCTTTCCCAGCATCTGGGATGACTGGGAAGCCCAAAGGAAGAAGCCCCACTGGCCACTAGAGGCTTTCAGGACCCTCAACCTAACAGAGCTTTATCCGTTTCCTTTGGCTGTGGGCCTCGGTGGTGGCGCTGCGGCTCTGGGAACACACCGTGAGCGGAATAAGGAGGATGCTGCTCTGCCTTCTTTCCATTTGTGAGATGACAGTGCCGGCCGAAGGGTCTGAGTGTCAAAGCGTTGAAGGGACATCTTTTCTTTCCTGCTACAGGTGTCCCTCTCGTCTACGAAGCTCTCAGCTGGCAGCATGGAGTGTTTGTGGGGGCGGCCATGAGGTCCGAGGCCACGGCAGCCGCCGAGCACAAAGGTAAATCCAAGTCAAAATCTGCAGCCACAGGGACAGGGTCAGCGCACTCTCTCCCGTCTCTGTGTCTCTCTTCCTGTCTCTCTCTCCTGTATCTGTGTCTCTCTTCCTGTCTCTCTCTCCTGTCTCTGTGTCTCTCTTCCTGTCTCTCTCTCCTGTCTCTGTGTTCCTCTGTCTCTGTGTCTCTCTCTCCTGTGTTTGTTTCTATGTCTTGGTGTCCCTCCTGTTTCTGTCTGTCTGTCTGTCTCTTCTGTCTTTGTCTGTTTCTATGTCTCTGCGTCTCTCTCTGTCTCTGTCTCTCTGTCTCTGTCTGCCTCTGTGTCTGTGTCTCTGCCTCTGTCCGTGTGGAGAGAGGGGCCGAGCATGCTGATGTCAGCAATCAGCACTGTCCTATGGGGGCCTCACTGACCGACAGGGCCCCTCTGTGTTAACAGGCAAAGTCATCATGCACGACCCCTTTGCCATGCGGCCCTTCTTTGGCTACAACTTTGGCAAGTACCTGGCCCACTGGCTCAGCATGGCCCAGCGCCCCGCGGCCAAGCTGCCCAAGATCTTCCACGTCAACTGGTTCCGGAAGGACAAGGACGGCAAGTTCCTCTGGCCCGGGTTTGGAGAGAACTCCCGGGTGCTGGAGTGGATGTTCAACCGGATCAACGGGAAGGGCGGCGCCAAGCTCACGGCCATCGGCTACATCCCCACGGAGGAGGCCCTGGATCTGAGAGGCCTGGGGAATGTCAACATGAAGGAGCTCTTCGACATCTCCCGGGAGTTCTGGGAGAAGGAGGCGGCGGACATTCAGGCCTACCTGGAGGAGCAAGTGAACGCCGACCTCCCCCCCGAAATCGAGAGGGAGGTCCAGGCGCTGAAGCAGAGAGTCAGCCAGATGTAAGGAGAGCACGGCCGCACCCTCCACAACCCTTCCGGTCCGCGAGGTGTGCCGGGAGCAAGAGCCGGGATCCCGACCCGCTGCCGCCTGCCACCCACAGCGACCACACCCATGAGCCTTTCAGACAGACACACT